CCCGCGCGTAGAAGAACGCGAACGACGCCAGCGAGAAGAACTTGTTGTCCCAGAACGCGATTACGGCCCGCTGCTCCTCGCTCAGCCCGCGCGTGGCCGCCAGCATGTCGCGCAGCAGAGCCCGCGCCACCCGCTCGTCGCCGCGCGACAGCGAGCCGCGCCGGTCGGGCGTCGCGTACGGGCCCTCCACGCGCGCCGCGCGGAAGGCACGCCGCGATAGCCCGAGAGGCGCCACGCGCCGCGACAGGTGCGGCGTCACGTGCCGCTGGTGGGCGTAGTTGCCCCGCCCGTCCACGGAGAAGGGCAGCGGCTGCCAGCGGAGCGGGAAGCGCAGTGCGTCCGGCGACAGGTGCGCGGGGTTGCGCGGGCGGTAGTTGATCGAGTCCTCGAAGGGGTTGCGGAAGTCGGCGCGGGTGGCGTCGCCGAGCGAATTCCACCCGTCGCTCTTGAAGTGCGCCTCCAGCCGCTGCGCAGAGCGCCGGGCCCAGCCCTCGGCGGTAGTTTCGTCCGTTGACATGCTGAATGGCTGCAGACCGACGCGGGCGAGGAAGGCGGCGTATCTGCGCCCCTCGACCGGGAACTCTGACGAAACTAGGTGCAGCGAGATGTAGGACTGGATGATGGCGGCGTTGTCCGGCGTGCAAAGGCGTGGTGGGATGGGGTCCTTGGTGCCGAGGAAGGATAGGGCGACCGGGTCACAGGCCGCCGCGGCTTCATACTCACCGACAAAGGTGAAGAGGGAATAGCGGACGGCGATCGGGGTCTGGGCAAAGAGGATGGAAGGGGGGAACAAGGCGCGGACAGCCTCGTTGGTTGGGGCGGCACTGATGGTGAGAACTTCAGCCAAGGTCGGGGCTGTCGCGGTGGTGTTTTGGCCAGCCGCGCCCGTGAAGGCCGTGCTCAAGAGCAGGAGAGAAAGGAAGAGTGAGACTTTGCATTTCATGGCGCGAAGTTGGCTTCGCTGTCAGAGGAGGATGAACGTTGGCGGCGTCGAAATGAACAACGATGAGGACTTTTTAAACGGGGTGCGGAGAGGGACAGGCGGGGATTGCCGCAAGTCGATGCTGGAGGCCTGACTCATTGCATCTGCGGAGATACTACTGTACTGTTACATTCAAGGGATCTCCGGGTGACTGGCGGTGCCCTAGGAGTGTCCATTGGTTGACAAGGGAAGAATTATCAACGTTCATGCCAAGTCAGAATTTGACCGAATCGCGTGCTTCGAACATTACGTATTGTGCGAATGATGAAGGACTGAGCCGTGGTGCAACAAGGTAAGCATGCCTACGAAGGCGTCAGGGTCTCCTTTAAGACAGCATGGACAGCCATGTTTGGATGTATATGTTCGCGAAGTTTGAAGCAAGCACATGCGCCTGCCAAACTTTTTTTCAACGATGGGAACGCGGCGTTCCCAAGCGAATGGCAGAAGGAGAACCACACGCTGCGCGCGTGTGGCGGCGTGTGGGCCCTTTCCGTCCTCCGCTTTCTTCACATTCTTCGACCCGTTCTCCTCTGAGAGGGAAAGGCGGCTGCGACTGTAACTGTACGTACACGATACATCGTATAAAGCTTACTTTACGTTACGTAGTGATTCCACATATCAGATGAGAGAAAGCTTCCAAACTGTAAAATGGGTGCAGCTCGTCTCGGAGGTTTTACGTCAGAAGCCCTGTTACAGAAATGGTAGGACGTGACGTGTGCGACTTTTTTAATTGAAATATTAGGTTTGTTGGAGGAGGAACGACTGAATTCTGCATCTTTCGCATCTACAGTACCAACGGTACAGTACTTGTTGCCCAGAAACTGTCAATATTCGTGCACTACTGTACACACGACCGCACACGTGTCACACTTGCGCCGGCGGACGATTGCAAGCTCGCCGACGCCGCCCACTCCCCGCTCTGTATTTAGCGCCGTCCCGGCGTCCTGTAGCCAGACGCCCGGACAAGAGGGACATCAGTAAAAGTGAAAAGGCTACTTTCGTCTTTCCCGGTTGGTCGTATTTAATTCCTCCAACTCCTCCCATCGCAGTCCGCGCCGCGTCGCGATGTCTTCTGGCTCCGCTTCTTTGTCTCTCCGCAAGGCGGACGAAGTGACTCCGCCTCTTTTGGAGCTATTCTTATTTGACGAAATTCCATTCCCTTCTGTCGATCTTCGGTCGAAATTTCTTGAATGGTTCGACGAGCCGTCGTCACCATTTTCTTCTGAAACATTCGACTCCAAATTTGAGTCGCAATTTTCGCGGTCGTCACTACAGTGACTTTTCTTCTTCTTTCGGCCTTTGGCCGACTTGGGGCTCTTCCACTTGGAATCCCGGATCCGGACTGACTTGTCCTTCTTCGTTGCACTGTCGATTTCTTCTCTGTCGGAGAGGATCCCGCGTCCAAACTTGGTTCGGCCCGGCCCGCAGCTTGCTCAAGGTCCTTTTGTCGCCGCGAAGCGCGGTAGAACCGGTCGTCGATGCTGTCTCTTGTCTTGGCCAGCGTTTCCAGGGCCTGATTCGCGTCTCGCCGCGCTTCTTTCGCGGCGAGCTTTAGCGAATCCAGTACTTCCAGATCTCGGCCCGGGGGCGCATCGGTACTTAAATTCTCAACGAGAACCACACGGGCTGTAAGCTCTTCAAGCGCAGCATGGGACTCGGATTTTAGCAACTCCTGTTGCTTCTGAAAAATGCCCAGATGTTCTTCGAACTTGCTCTTCGTCTCCTGACGAATCTCCTCGCACATCTTTTCGAACTTCTCTTCCAGGCCATTTTTCTCAACGGCTGTCCCCGAAGGGGACGCTTCTGCAACTGGATCAGTAGCCGAATTTCCTTGGCTTCGTGTACGAGGTCCTCGCGGAATCCTCGACTCCTGAGCTGATCAAGCCCTTCTGACCCCAGGACCGACGTCCTTGGGTTGGCTTGATGCCATGGTCCGCTCTTAATAAACGAGACCAATTCAACTAATTTACCTATTTCCGACTTCTGATTTCAGTTCCAGATTCTAGGTCGGATTTCGTAGTTTCCAGATTCTAGGTCGGGAGACTACTTATGCAGTGCAATGTGCCTGTCAGGCCGGAACCAGGGTCCAACGGTCCAGCGACAACAAAACCAACAAACAACAACCAACAAGAGTTGCCGACGGCACAGCCCTACGGAGTGTCCAATTCTCCCTTTCCTTTTAAGTGGTTTTGCGGCCCACAGTAGCTCAAGTCCCTGATAGGGGGGGCAAAAGAAAGAGGCCCGCCCCGGGACGAATGGTGGTAGAGTCTTGTACAGGCAGTTGCTCGGCGAGTTTGGGGCGGTGATTAGGAAGCCGTGCCCGATGGGTCGTAAAGCCAATGCTCGCGGAGCGCCTGTTACACCTTATACCCTTGATAAAGTCTTCGATGGGGGCGTCGCAACGCAGCCGGACGGGAATTAGCAAACACGTAGCAGCGCTACACTCCGTACTGCCCGATGGCAAAGTACCGACACCGGAACGGTCGCAACCTGTATCCGATGGAACCAACACTGTCCTGTACACACAACAGGACCTTCGAGGGAGACGTCGTCGCAACAGCCTCCGTCGGTGGACGTAAACAAGTAGCAGGGCTACACCCACGTGTCGCCCGATGTCCAAGACACCTACACCGGTCCGGTCGCAACCAAAGCCGATGGCACCAACAACAAACAAAAGAACCAACACAAAAGCCCGATGACTCCAGTCGTCACAATGCAGATCGCAATCAGGCATTGTGCAACCAACACAAGATAAGGGAATAGAAATAGAGATAGAAATAGAAAAGGATAGGTGAAATAAACGAAAAGGAAAGGGAACCCCCGAGGGCAAAGGATAACGTAATCTGTGGTAAAAGGGAGCGTCTTGGGAAAGACGGAGTTCGACCAAGGCGATATTCAACTCTAGCAACTCGGGTTACGTTTACTGACTTGGTGGTCAGAGGGCTAAGGTATATATCACCCCGCCGGAGCCACTACAGTAGCTCGCGGCGCTAGATCCTAGATCTAATCTAGTGTCAGCAAAATTAATGCCAACTAATTAACTAAATAAAATAAAATAATTAAAAATTAAAACTGTGCAGTTATTCACACGTGTGTCCCCCAACCCGGACTACTTTTCATATCCGTTCTCACCCACGCGGTCCCTTCGTTGACCGTCCTTTATCCCCGCAATAGTGTTGAGGTCTTCTCCACTCCGTTTGCCTGTTTTCGAAGCAATCTTGTCCGTGCGTCCGTGTGGCTTTCCCCTGAGTTCAGGGAATTGTCCCTGCTTACCCGCCTCGGGGTCCTGTGCGTCCTCCCTACATTTTCTACGGCGCAGTCACGAAACTTTGCTGTGGAAACCCGATCGTGTACCTCCCGTGTCACTGCCTTTCTGATATTATTGACAATTTTCATAAACTTGGTGATCGTCAGTAGCTGCCGTACGGCAGTCGATGCCAACGTGGTCATACTGTTGATATTCGGCATTGATCACCGACGTTCGTACCTACCACAAAACTTCCCACTTCCATCGCCTCATACAGCACGAGTGCTGTACCTTTGGTGGAGGACGTGTAGTGTAATACCCGTCTCAGGTAGGGGGGAGGAAGGAAGTGAAAAAGGAAAAAAATTGGATACTGTAGTCCGGGTTTGGGGGACACACGTGTGCGACGAAGCGCACGATTATTTTAATTATTTAATTTATTTACTAATTAGATCTAGAATCTACAGCCGGGAGCTACTGTACTCGCCCCGGCGGGGCTCTATATAACTTAGCCCTTTGACCGAACAAGTCAATAAACCAACCCGAGTTGCCGGAGTTGAATGTCGCCTTGGTCGAAGTCCGTCTCTACCAAGACGCTCCCTTTTACCTAAGCCTACGGCATCCTCTATCGCTCGGGGTTCCCTTTTCTCTTTCTTTTATTTCCCTATCCTTTTCTATCTCTAATTCTACCTATTTTTCCCTTATCTTGTGTTGGTACCATCGGTGTTGGTTGCGACCGAACCGGTGTAGGTGTCATTGCCGTCGGGCGACACAGTTGACGTAGCGCTGCTACTGTGACCCATTTTCCGACGGAGACCGTTGTAACGACGTCTCCCTCGAAGGGCTCCGTCGTGTTACGAGCCAGTGTTGGTGCCATCGGCCTCGGTTGCGACCGAACCGGTGTAGGTGTTTCCAGCCATCGGGCGACACAGTTGACGTAGCGCTGCTACTCTCATTTCATCCCGTCGGGCTGCGTTGCGACGCCCCCGTCGAAGGCCTTGTCGCGTTACAAGGTGTCGAAGAAGCTCAACGAGCATTGGCCTTACAACCCAGTGGAACCGGGGTATCTACGTACGCGCCCCACCCCACACTCGTCGAGCAGTTCTCTTCGCAAGTCTCTACCACACCGATCCCGGGCCGGGCTATTTCTCTGTGCCCCCCCCCATCAGGGATCCGAGCTACTACGAGTCGCAAGCTCGTTTAAACGGAGAAGGGAGAGTCGGACACTCCGTAGCGCTGTGCCATCGGCAGTTCTTCTTTTTGTTGCTGTTGTTGTTTTTGCTGGACCGTTGGACCGCGGTCTCTGCCCGACAGGCGCATTGCACTACAGGACGGGGGCGAGAAAATGTCAGCCATAGCATAGTAGTTGCACTGCGGCCCGGTCGTGCCCCTGCAAGTTCTTAGGCGCCTCCCGAGCATGTTCTTGAGCTCAGCCGATCCAACAAAGAGGAAAGCCAATCACTTTCCCATCTCCAGGTCCTCAGACACACGCGTGCGCACCCCGCTCATCGCCAGTCCCCTTATCTGCGACGAAGCGACCGCCAATCAAGTCCGCACTGCCTTCCTTATGTAGCGTGAGCTTGTTGCGCATCTGCACGCGCACAGAGGCCTTCGGCTCCTCGCTGTGCACGGTAGATGGATCGGTTGCAATGCACCACGTCTTGAGGCTTCCGGGGGTTTCAGGAAGCAAGCCCGGGTCGATACAAGTCCTCATCGACTTGGTTACACGGTACGGAACAGGGAGACGGATATCGGTCTATATCGAGTAGGCGGTTCGGTAGCGAGGCATTTCGCTCTTCCGCATCCGGGCATTCGGGGCACCACAAAAATGACCCTGGGCTTGTACTCGATTGCTTCCTCCCTCTAGGCACTCGCTCACCACTAGCCGTGCATAAAATATTCAATTCGGAAGAGCTTTTGTAGTTCGCTCCAGGAGGCAGGGGAATGCTTAAGGAAAAGGGGATGTCCTCCTTTGGCTCTCGATTGTACCCTCGCATCATCTGCGATATCTGCGCAGTTCGTATCTATATACTCCTCGCTCTCTGCGCTGTCGGAAGCATGATCCGGGTGTGATGCGAAAGCCTCATCATCTGGCGCATGCGCCTTATCATACTCCCCCTATCATCATTACCGTGGGCGTCCAGAAGCTCAAAGCCACCACCGAGGGCATCCCCACAAGCGCAGCGATTTCTCTTGTTCGCCGTTGACCTCGGCCTTCTTGATGATGCAATATCACGACGCCCGCCGGCCTCAGTATAGGCATAACAACAAGGCAAGAATCTTGAACGTGATATGAAACTTCAAAATATAAGGTGTATGCGGTGCTCTCCCCTGCTCGTCCAGATCCATCATGAAAGCATCCGCCTGGTGGTGAGGCAGCAC